TTGGAACAACAAAACTCATTTCATTAATAAAAGCAGTAAATTACAACTTTGGGACAACAAAACTCATTTCATTAATAAAAGCAGTAAATTACAACTTTGGAACGTAACATCCCTCTTAAAGAGTTTTACAAAATGACATAAGCAATAAAACTATGAACTAAAGATCACTCAAAATCTTCATCGGACGAAGGACCAAATGCTACTTGTAACTTGAGCTTCCTAATCTTCTCTTCATAGAAGTCTTCCATCTCTGTCTTCTCGGCTACCAGTTGATCAACGACTTTCTTCCATGGATTAGGAACAGGAGTAGCTCCTACCAAATATTCCTTCTTTCTCTTCCTTTCCTTAGCATATTTCTTGGGAAATGCATCTTTCTGGCGAAGCTTCTCATCATGATCAATAAACCAACCATCTTGAATAAATAGCATATCCTCCTTCTCCTTCAGCTGTCGAGTCAGGACCCTGTTTTCGTATTCAGACATACTATACTTTTCCTTCCAAGCATCTCTTTCAGACTCCATTCTAGCCATATTTTCCTGATACTCTCTCATGTTCTCAATAGGAATAGCAGTAGATGATGATGTAGCAATAGGGAATAAAGGTTTCTCGGGATTATAAGGAATCTTGAAAGCACAATCCCTAGCACGAACCCATTGAAGGTAAGGCTCCAAAGAAACAGCACCTCTATGGCCTAACATGTCTCTCCCCTTTCTATGGATATGGTGCCAAGCCTTTTCAATCTCCTCTTTAGCTGCTTTGTGATCGTTTCCTTCTTGTAGAAAGAAACCACTCAAATGAATGTTATTCGACTTATCCTTCATTGGGTAACCAAACGGGCGGCGCGCAAGAACATGATTATAGTTAATTCCTTCCCTCGTACCAAGATGATGAAAGTTGGGAAAAACACCATAACTATCAATGATCTTCACGTCATAGTAAGCTCGATTATACCAATCTATGTCGGAATGAGTAAGAGCCATAATTTTTGGTGCACGTCGTGACTCTTTCTTGAGATCCCAGAAAACATCGAACCCAGGTAAATGAGAAACATACCACTGGTATAGCAATGGTGAACAACAGATAATCATCCCACCTTGGTAGGAGTTCCGAAGATGGATGGAATAGAAGGTATCTCCTAGCAGCGTAGGGACCGGATTTCCAATCAAGAAGATTCTAATGGTGTTGATATCCACAAACTTATCAACGTCAGGGAACAAGAACAATCCATAAGAAAGTAAAGCAAAGACATCTTCAAAGGAGACATCATCCTTTATCTTGGTGAAGTGGCGAGCTTTCTTCAACAAAAACTGTGCAGGTAAGCCTCAGATTCCTCCCTTAGTAGCCATGTTCTCTTCTATCTCAGACTTCCTCGAGTGGGTGATTGTTGCTATCTCGTGAGATTTGGGTTCCCCTTCTAAACCAGAGAAAGGAACACGGTCGGTGATTGGCAAACCAAGTATATATGAATACTCTTCCAAAGTGGGCATTAACTGGTAATCAAGAAAAGTGAAGCATCGATACAATGGATCATAGAATTGGACCAACGTACTAAGGATGCCTTCCTTCATCTTGTGCTTCATGAGAGGAATAATAGATCCATATTTCTTTTGAAACTCCGTATGGTTCTCAATCTTGGGAATCAAACTCTTCAACTCTTCAATCTTAGGCTCCTTGAAGCTATAACTCTGAGTGTTTCTTTTTCCAAAATCCATGGTAACAGTACCTGAGATATCTGCAAAAATCATTCTTAAGTCCCTTGAAAAACATGTTCACAAAAATGCTTATGGATGCATGAATGAATTATAATGCAACAATTACACATAAATTCACAAACATGGGGTTCAAAGGTTCAACGCTTCGAGTATGGAGTCAAAGGTAAAGCCCACCCCCAAGGTATGTACTAAAGGTTTAATCACACCTATAAAACGAGGTTCTAAAAGTTCCCAGAGTCTACATTCCTCTTTAAAATATTACCAACGTCTCGATTACTCGGTAATTAGCAATATTCTCAAGAGAAACTCGGCCAGTGAAGCATCACGTGACAACTACTTCCAGATTACTCTGTCATAGTCTCCGCGCTACACCTAAAAGGCCAAGATGGGTTAAGGGTTCTATAGTTCTCAGCTTCTCTGGCTCCCAGGTCGAAAGCAATAATGTCTTCTCGGTTACTCGATAAACAAATACTACGTTCAAAGGGGCATCCACTGAGTGGGGGATTTCATATCTCCTTCTTCGGGATTACTCCCTCAAAGTTAACATGATTATACCGTCCGTCCTATTCTTAAGTGTAACTTAGTCCGGGTATAGGACTTGTCCTTTGTAAATATCATCAACACCCAAATAACCATAATATAATATATGATTAATCAAACAAATAATAATAAAATAGATAAGACAAACTAGGCTTAACCCACTTAGGGATGGACCAACAAGAGGTCAATCTTTTCCCAGCAGAGTCGACAATTCTGTAGCGATAAAAAATGTAGCGGGGTAAATCGGAGATCGAGTTATTAATTAACTCGTCTCACATAAGCAAGAGTCTCCACCACACTTTATTATTTCCAAGGGAAAAGGGAAAAGAGGGAAATAAAACCCTAAAATATGCAATGTAAAATAATACTTAAAAGTAATGAAAATACAATGCGTTTTTGAAAGAGATCTAGAGTTCGGGGGTTGATTATGCAATGGGAAGGTATTAGCATCCAATGCATCTGCGGCACTCCGCATGAACCTTTTGAAATATCTATTTTTTTAAAATTGTTTGTTTGGATAAAATGGTTCGTTTGGTAAAAATGGTTGGTTTGGCTAAAAATGATTTATTTGGACGATATTTTGGAGATACGATGACCTAGTGTCGAAGTTTTGACTTAAAAAAGGTGTGAATTTGAAAATTGGTTTTTTAGGAAAATTATCTTAAGTTTAGCAAAATAGCAAACAAACAAAAAAATGAATGAGGGTATTTGCACGATCGTATTACTTATGGAGTTAACAAAATATTTCCCTTGGATTTTAAACGGACGAAAGATACAAAGATTAAACGATCGAGAATAAAGTTAATTAAAATGACAATTGAACAATTAAATAACCAAAGATTAAATAGAAGACTAATTTATACTAGCATGCATTTTTGAATAATTAAATAAACAACAAAAATTAAATAAAAGCATATATTTGAATAATTAAATAAACAACAAAAATTAAATAAAAGCATGTGTTTGAATAATTAAATGAACAACTACAATTAAATAAAAGCATGTGTTTGAATAATTAAATAAACAGCAAAAATTAAATAAAAGCATGTATTTGAATAAATAAACAACAAAAATGAAATAAAAGCATGTATTTGAATAATTAAATAAACAGCAAAAAATAAAAGCATGTATTTCTGTATTTTATAATAATTATAATAAACTAAACTAATATATAATCAAATCTAATGGAGTTGAAAGAAAAAAGCTTAAAAGAGCAAAAGAAAAGAAAAACGCCCCAACAGGGGTCGAGCTTAGGCTTTTAAGACTATGGGTAATATACTTTGCCAACTGTACTAGATTGCTATTCGTTTATTACCATGATATAATTAGAACATAAGGGAAAACGACAAGAGGAAATTGGGTCAGCAGCCCAATGGGCTGACCCGGCTAGCATGAAAGGAACAAGGAAAAAGAAATTGGAACCCTAATATTGCAAAGCAGCGTCGTTGCAGATTTCATTGGGAAAGGAAATAGATTAAATATATTCCAAAAAAAACTTTTCTTTTACCATAAAAATAGAAAAAAGAAACTCTCTCTGTTGCCCAAAACTCTTCATCTCTTCCTTTGTTCTCTATGTTACCATAAAATCAAGATTCTCTTCTCATCACCTTCATTCAAATTACTCTTCACAATCTCTCTATGGTTTCATCACTCGGTTCCGCTCATCACTGTCTTCGAGCGTCCTCTTTAATTTTGACAAAACGGTGAGAAAATTCAGGTAAGCGTTCGATCTTGATCGTTTCTGATTCGCACTTCTTCGATCTTCTTCCCCCAGTTTGTGTTTCTTCTACCAGTGTGTATTTGTGTGCATGTGACGCGGTTTTTGTCGTGATATTGTTGTAGATGTAATTGTGGTTGAAGAAGTTCCAGAAGGAAGTTCTGTCGGTTACGGAATGGTTGATCGTGCAACCGACGAAAACATCGTCAGCAAGTTTGGTGACTTGGATGGCAGCGAGGGGGGTGTTATGGCCGGAGTAAGAGACCGGTAAGTCGTAAGAGAAAAAATCATTGAAACAGGGATGGATGTCTATGAGAGAAGGTGAGAGGATGGTGTTTAGTGTGAGGTGTTTGGCTTTTGCGAGAATGAAATCGATGAGAAAGTGGGTCACTGGAAGCAAGGACGATAGATGGTTGAACGACAAGATGAAAAGGGATACGGTTAAGGGAGGATTAGCGAAACATAAGTGAGAGTATACGGTTGAAGAATGGAGATGGAAGGTTGGGTAATGTTGAATGATGAAGATGGAAGTCGAGAGGCGAAGGGGATTGTGATGAATGGAAGTTTGGAATGAGAAGATGAAGGGGAATCGTTTTGCTGATTTTTGTTAAGTTTTGATCTGGTTTTTCTTTTAGTCTGAAGTATTTGCAGTTGATACTCTTGCAGGTGGGTGGAAGGTTTTTGAGAGAGTTCCAGCTTTTTTGGTGAGTTTTCTCGTGAGTTTCTTGTGTAAGTTCTTCTTCTGGTGTATTTCGCTGACACTTCCTTGTTGAATCACAACTACGAGGTCAGCTTTGCGAATGGTGGAGAGACGATGCGCAATTACAAGAGTTTTTCTGCCAATCATGAATCGGTCAAGTGCTTCTTGCACCAACTTTCTGATTCAAAGTCCAATGCACTCGTTGCTTCGTCAAGTAGAAGAATTGTTGGACTCTTTAGCATTGCCCTTGCTATTGCTATTCCTTGTTTTTGCCCTCCAGAAAGTTGCAGTCTTCTTTCTCCTACCTGAGTTTCAAAACCTTCAGGAAGTTTTATGATAAATGAATAAGAATTAGCAACCCTAGAAGCTTCTTCAATCTCAACCTGGTTTGCATCAGGCCTAGAGGGGTAAGAAAAGTCAACATTTTCAGCTCAGCAAGTCCAGTAACTGTCTCCAATTCCAATCCTGGTTCTCTGTTTCTGTCTATTCCAGGCTTGTGATCGATTATCCGGAAAATCTTAGCAGCTGCGATCCCCGTCTTTGTAAATGCAATCATACTAGGTGCATACTGTCCCAGGCCTGTTCCACCAATCATGACAGCAAACACGGTTGCGATGGCAAGTCCTCCATTGGTTTCAGTTCGAGTTTTAATTTGAATTTCTCATTGGGTTCATCTTTTGCTAACACATTTTGTTCATCGGCTTCTGGTTATTTGAGGTGTAGATTTATCAAATGTTCTCTTGTTGTTTTACTTTTGCAGGCGGGTGGCAGGAAGGTTACTACTGTCTTGCCATATGCAGCTCGTGTTGTTCCTACTGCGGGTATAGCTGCAAAAACTGCTGGTGTGGGTTAGACTGGTCGTAACCAGCTTGATTTTGTATCGGTTGAACATAACTTGGCTGCACAGTTGGTGCTGCATTATATGCTTGTGCAGGAGTAGAACCCTGATACTGAATTTTTCCAGTTTGAGAGGCTCTAGGGTGGCCATAGGACTGTGGATGTTGTTAACGGTAGATGAAGCAAGTGGGCGTTTGAACAAGGAAATGGTGATGAAGGTTGTTTTGATGGAGGGGGTATGGCTGAACGGTCGAGACAGAGGAGGTATGGTTCTTTTATTATATTTATTGTGTTATTACTGTATGTTTCATCCGCATTGTTATTATTATGAATTCTAAACAAGTTTAAATGCTAACAAAATGCAGCAACTCAAAGAAAATACAACAAAGAAGGTATGATAAAGCAAGCATCGTATGGCAGAAAAAATGGCGCAGAACATGATTTAAACATGAATATATGCAGAAGTAGATAAAGAGGAAGAAGAAAAAAATACCTATCGGAGTCTCTCCGATGGGGCTTCCAGAAAAAACAATAAGTTTTTCTCCTCTGTTTATGCTCTTGTTGTTAAAACTTTGAACAAACTTTTCTTTTTTCTCTTTATTCTCTTTATTCTCTTGCTGAACCTTTGAATTTTCTGTGCTGTCTTGCTGAATTTTCTTTGTATGTATTTTCTGATTTTCTTTCTCTCCTCCCCTTTTCTTCTCTACACAAGGTCCTCTTTATAGGCACATTGGAGTGAGATTTAGAGGCAAAACTTATAAGTTTTTGAATTTCTTTTGCCTACTGTTTTGATACTTTTTCACACAATTTTCTTTAGCCATTTTGATGTAAATTTGTGACTGTTATGATGCAGGTTGGAACAGACTGTATAGAGCAGTTTTGGATTGATTTGCAGGTGGTTTTGTACTGACTTACAACTGTTTTTTTTTACAGCAAAATACCACAAAAATGGACTGGTTTGTGTTGAACAAGGCTGGAGAAAATGAACAACATTGGGACTGTTTTTTACTACTGTTTTTGGACAGTAAAATACCCAAGAATTGGACTGTTATTGTATTAAAATAGTGCTGAAAAAATGGGCAGCATTGGGGCTGCTATTGGAGCAAGAAATAATAGCTTGATTTTCATGTACAAACTTTAATTTCTTTTGTAACTTTGTAATGATTAATCCAAATAAATTGTAATATGAATGGGTACTTATTCTTCAATATAAATCTCAATTTCCTTGTAATTGTAAACAACTTTGAATCTTGATATGTCTTGATAAAATTCAAAGTCTTCCATTTGAATTTGGAAGATAATTGATTGATACTTGAATGTATTGTTGAATGATGAATAAATCAAAAATGCAAGCCTTAAGACTTGAATCTTGCATTTTGTATTAGAGATTCAAATAAACTACATGAATTAATCTTGTGCCCATCGTGTATTTATTCTTGTGATGAATGACAAGTTTGAATCAAATTTCTTTTTCCAACATCTTCTTGAATAAATGCTTCATGTGAATTCAAATAGTCATGATGTAACCCACCAAAATAATCACACAAAATAATATTGAATAAATATCTAATGCGACGAACGATTATTCTTGAATGAGAATCTCTTGGTAGCTTCAATTAACACTTGAATTCAAATAAAGAAAATTCCAAGTACTCCGACTAAATTCTTCCAGAACGGTCTTGAATTTAATCATCCCATTTTAACAAAGTTCGCCCAGCGTCATGAGAAAACTTGCAAATGACTTTTGGTCGAAGTGGTCGGAATTGACCTGCATAACTTGATTTTTCTTGTATTTCAAGGCAATGTGAAACACACATGAACCAATGACAGTAGAATTTTGACTGTTCTTTCTGAAGAATTTCAGAGACACTTGAGGCCATCTGTTGGACAAAGCATGGAAATAAACACACGATTCTCTTAAAGTTATTTTGATGAACCAGTCTTTGATAATCAACGATCGACTGCATTTCTGTCTTGAGATTCGAAACCCTAATTGAGGCGTGACGTCTGATGCTCTTCTTTCAGACCTATTTCCCGAACATGAAATAAAAAAAAACATACACCTTGATCAGTGGTTAGTTATTCATAAGATAAAATGCTTACAACACTCGATAATCTCTGCACAGGCAAATGCTCGAAGGTGAAACGTTCGAAACCGACCATATTTCGTGACCTTGATGTATATATAAAATAGTACAAATGAAGATGGGATCTTAGGTCAAAAATTGGGGTATGACAGTAGTTATAAACAACATCATCATAAGATCAATACACATCATTCACCAATACTTCATACTCACTGATATATCAGAATAGCACTTAAACATCCTTCATCATCAATTCGTCATATATTCACACAGTTCACAGTTATCATCATATCACAACTCATTAACATAATTCATGCAATGTCACATAGAATGCTAATGTAACAACACTAACACAATGCATATGGTACCAAAATTTATGAGCACCTGGCTCATCACCTTCCATAGATCCCCACCATAGGATCGATTCCCTCTTGGAACCAGAGCATAATATAAATCGCTATCGTCATCATAGGTACACTTCACTAAATCTCCAACATAGGATTTAGCTAATCTCACCCAATCCACACAATGGGTTGAGGCTCAACATAGGCTAACCAACGTCCAAAAATGCTATGAATGCATGATGCACAACAACGTAATATATTGATTCAACCACGGCTAGTCAAGTGCATCATCATTTACATAATCATCACATAAACATCTCCACACAACATGTAACATATTAACATGCCCATCATTCAAATATCATCACATACAACATCAATTGTATCACATCAACATCATAGCAACTTCATAACAACTTCTTAACAACTTCATAACAAGTTCATAGCAACAATGAAGTTCATTCATCGAAAACAGAACACCTCAGCATTTTACACATACAATAATTCAAAACTTATAAATACATAGACACTAAAATATTGCATCAATTAACTGATATTCATCTATTATCATGTATCTCTTTGTGCCAACTTCTCAACACTTTAAATAACGCGTCAAACAGAGTCCTAAAACTCAAGTTACGACCTTTGAAAGTTACTTTCAGGTCTGCTCGCCTGATGCTTTCCCGGTGACCCTGGTGGCACTCTCCTCGCCCGATGAGGCTGGGGCGATGATCCATCACCCATACATTTTCCAGGAGCTCTTCTTTTCCACCATTTCCCCTTGCCACTTGTCTTGCCCGATGATTCTTGGACGATTGCTCGCCTAGCGACGCGAGCGATACTGCAACTTCCTATTGCGATTTGGCTAGTGATATCAGTCGTTCCAATTGCGATTACAGATACCATACTCATTCCAAAATGCATTATATACACCATATATCACATACTAACATCAAAACATGTATAGACACATATTGGCGTCAAATCAAGGTATTCATATATCATTGATATCAACAATTTCATCATATTTCATCAAATCAATCATACAACAAAATCCTATATCTACCTTAACCCCATATCGATCATAATAAACCCAATTACACATTTTACCTCGAATTCCTTAGTGAATTGATTCTCTCTTCGAGTTCTACCGAATCCCTTCTTTGTTCTCTGAGCCCTAACTCTTCTCAGTGTTCTCCCAAACTCCACGATTGTACAAAATGATCTTTACTCCTCTTATTTTCTCTTTTTAATTTGTTACCCATTAGACCTTTTCTATGTTATTCCTCTTATGCTCCCACTCATCACCATATGTTACCATCATGCCCTTAACATCTCTACACAACTAATTGTCCTATTTTAATTATTATCATAAATCTAATTAATATAACTAAAATTATTTAAATCTAAATAATTCTAATTATCACTTATATCCCACTTACTACCCCATAACACATCATCACACATCACATGAAATCAACAATAAATCAGAAATAACCAAATAAATGAGTAATTCAAATTCTGGGGTGTTACAAAAGGCGCCTCTAACGAAGCACTCTCTTATGTAGATAAAGAGTTAAAAGTAATACCTTCAAGGATAGTTATAAAGAAATCCGATTCCATAAATTTCTCCGTAAAATGCCTCCTCACCTCTTCTTTAACTTCTTCCACCAATTCAACTTCACCACTCAGAGACAAAAGAGAGCTAATGAAGTTTCTACGACGTCTTTCCTTCATAATACTATGAAAAAACCAACTGTTGGAATCTCCATCTCTATCCCGCTTCAATCTCGATTTTTGAAAAAAAATATTCTCCTTGATTCTCATGTTCAACCATAATTTTCTAGTAGCATAACTCCTACTAGCCACAACTTCTTAAACGATATTGTCCCTACAAGAATCCAATAAATTGTCTGCCTCGTTAATCTCCCTCACACTGTCTTCTATCTCTAGATCTACCTTCCCAAAGACTTTGACGTCCCATTTCCGTAAACTATCCTTCAAAAGCCTCAACTTTTCCTTGATAACAAAGTCAACTCTACCAAACACCTTCAACTTGTTCTATTCTTTTTCCACAAACGATAAGAAATCAATAGAATCAAACCAAGTATTATTGACCCTAAGGGGTTTGGGACCCCAATCAGAATTATAAACCACAATCCATACTAGACAGTGGTCTGAAATGTCCCTCCTACTCGTTCTCTGACCCACTACTCCCCAACTATCCACCAAAAATTCTGAAATAAAAAAATGATCAAGCCTACTCTTAGCCCTCCCGTCCTCGCTGTACCAAGTAAATGATTTACCTATACACAGAACCTCCACAA